GTGTAGGGAATGAATGGAAGCGAAATTCAAAAATCGCCGCGGACTAAATTTTAGATATAGATGTTTACTTTCATTTGAGGCCACTCGCAGCTTTCTGCATCTTCCAACAAGAAAACCTTTACGCTTTTGCTGAGAGCCCCGTTTTGCCCTTTGTCACGCAATAACTCGGCAGCACTTCAACATTTCGATCTCGAATTTTTAGCATAAGCTCGCTGGACAGTCAGCATTAGTCACTGAAAGCGCCATCGAAATCGGATGTAAGATAAAAAAGTTTTTCCTGAGGGAGGGGGACCCTTAAATAATGTTGATAAAAACATCGTGATTGACTATTTTCGAAGGTAAAAAATGAGATGTGAGATTCAATGAAGTACCAAAAATAAGTTAAACAAACGTCATTATTGGCTAAAAGTTTGTAGGAGGAAGAAAGCTGAAGCACCTTAGATAAGGTCCAAATCATTCGCCGTGTTGGTTCGATTCCCGATAAGTCAATCGTTGCGTCGGATATTTTCACTCAAAACAAATTTTTAGTACAGACCATGAGACTACACATAGCATACTCAAACCGCACTCTGATGCTTCTGAAATCATTTGAAAAACTGTAGCTCTCTCTGAGAAAATGTGTTGTTTTTTTTGACTTTTCGTACTCCATAGGATTTTTATGTAAAAACATTTACTCAATTAATTTTAAGAAAGAGAAGAAAGATTGAAAATTTATGATTATATATGACCCACCCGTTAAACGCTCTGTTGCCTCCTGGTAGTACGAGAATGAGCACGACCGTCGATTCGATATCCTACAGAGACATGCAGCACGACTTATCAGCCCGATTCTTGAACACTTGTGGCAACCATAAACGTTTCAAGCAAGCACAGGATGGTAAGTGGATCATATGTTTCTCAATCAAATTCATTGTGACTTGTGCAAACGGGAAGGATTTCTTATCAGGTGGTTGCAATATTGTCTGGACAGGGGAGAGGGAGAAAGAGTTAAACAGCCTCACGTCAAGAATTCTGCCAAACACTCGAAAAAGCCGTGATCGATGTGACATAGTTAGTTCGAGAACGAATATCTGCCTAGTAAGAGCACTGATTCTTCTTTCTTTGTGCTGCAAAGTCTAGAGACGAAGGAGCTGAACACTGGATAATACACATTTGTTTAGACGTGACGCAGTTTCAATCGCTTGCGAATGAATTAATTCTTGAAGTCTTCGAGTATTTCGACGCTTATGATATTCTACACTCATTTCTTGGACTAAACGACCGTTTCGACAGGTTACTAGGCAGCCTTCAGTTTAACTTGAACTTTCATCGCATCAACCAATCCAGGTGTAAGTTTATATGCGAACATTTTCCGACAACGGCACAAGTTTGTTCTCTGTCTCTCGGCGAACAGAGTTGCGAATACATCGACCTGTTCTTCGACCGTTTCCAAACAAACACATGGACTAATCTTCACTCCTTATCATTGGACAGAATTCACCCAGAACACCTGATCAAAGACGTGCTGCCACATTTGTGCTGCATGCCACGACTATCATCATTGACACTGCAGATTAGACGGAGCTTCTTGGATCTCAGGAAAGAGGCGACTACATGCGAACAAGTCGCTATCATACTCGCAAACGCATTGAAAGAAAATCAAACTCTCACGCAACTTGATCTGGCAAGTAACCGAATATCTGCTCGAGGAGGCGAAGCACTGGCTGAAGCATTGAAAGTGAACAAAACTCTCATGCAACTTAATCTTAGACGGAACCAAATGTCTGATATAGGAGGCGAAGCACTGGCTGAAGCATTGAAAGTGAACAAAACTCTCATGCAACTTAATCTTAGAAGGAACCAAATATCTGCTCGAGGAGCCGAAGCACTGGCTGAAGCATTGAAAGTGAACAAAACTGTCACACAGCTTCATCTTGGAAATAACCAAATATCTGCTCGAGGAGGCGAAGCACTAGCTCAAGCGTTGAAAGTGAACAAAACTCTCACACAGCTTCATCTTGGAAATAACCAAATATCTGCTCGAGGAGGCGAAGCACTAGCTCAAGCGTTGAAAGTGAACAAAACTCTCACGCAACTTGATCTTAGAAGGAACCAAATGTCTGATATAGTAGGCGAAGCACTGGCTGAAGCATTGAAAGTGAACAAAACTCTCATGCAACTTAATCTTAGAAGGAACCAAATATCTGCTCGAGGAGCCGAAGCACTGGCTGAAGCATTGAAAGTGAACAAAACTGTCACACAGCTTCATCTTGGAAATAACCAAATATCTGCTCGAGGAGGGGAAGCACTAGCTAAAGCATTAAAAGTGAACAAAACTCTCACACAGCTTCATCTTGGAAATAACCAAATATCTGCTCGAGGAGGCGAAGTACTAGCTCAAGCGTTGAAAGTGAACAAAACTCTCACGCAACTTGATCTTAGAAGGAACCAAATGTCTGATATAGTAGGCGAAGCACTGGCTGAAGCATTGAAAGTAAACAAAACTCTCACGCGGCTTGATCTTAGACGGAACCAAATATCTGCTCGAGGAGGCGAAGCGCTGGCTGAAGCTGTAAAAGTGAACAAAATTCTTACTCAGATTTATCTTTGGTAGCGTGTCGCTGCATTTTTGGATTAAGTTTACATTGTGTTTTTTGCAACGTTTGAAATGAGTATTTCATAGTCTTTTTATGTCCCTGCACTGTAAAGTTGAAAATAAGTTATACAAAATAAAAAACGATTTTCAGTTTGTCGGTGTGAGAATTCATCACGGTTTTTTTGCTTTCTTAAAAACGTGATTTTCAAGTATTTTACCTTTTTCAAAAAACGCGTGTGGATTTTCCGGAAAATCAGTTCAACTTTTTTTGGAAGATCGTCGTTGACTTTTCAGGAAATTAGAACGCATGTAGTCAAAATTGGAGATAAATCGACGATTTTTTAGCGATTACTCAACCGACTTATCGTGCGCTTAATTGTCAATAAATCGGCGATTTTACCGATTACTAGCAATTAATCGGCGAGTTTTTAGTTTAACAGTTAACTGGGCTCCTCGATTCAAAGCTGACTCAAATCAAAACAATGAGTCGGCTCTGAGGAAACTACAGATGAATCTACTGCAGAATAAAACAGTGAATAACAAAAAACCATTTCATGGCTTAAAATTAACAATTAATCGCAATTAAGTGACCATTATTAAAGAAACAGAAAAATCACCAGGATCGCTAATGAGTCATAAATAACTTGCGACGTTTTTAAGAATAGCGATAATTTTTAACAACGGCGATTTGTCATACAAGCCGATTAATCATCAAGTGTAAAAAGTCACCGATATATTGCAATTATGGACGATTACAGCCAAAATTGCGATTAGTTGATAATTTATTGCTAATCGCAAGTAATCGTCTAGAATGGAGCGATTTTAACGACATGGGAAGCGATACTCTAGAAAACAAATCGATTTTGCATGAAATCAAAGGCGCTTTTAAAATTTGAAAATCCCCGACGAATTTGTATGTGGACAAATTCAAAATCAAAAGTGCAATGTATTTTTAAAGAAATTGAAAATCTAGAACGATTTTTTACTGTTGTTCAGCGTCCCCGCTCGTTTAAAATATCTTTCGTGTTTTTCTTTACATGGAGTCAAAAAATGATTTACTGAGGACAGTAAAACGATGCTTTAATACAGGTGACTGGATAAGAACTAATTAGTTCTATCCCTTCACTTTTCTACCAGAAGAAAACACATACACCAAGAGCATTTCTTACGGGTAGAGCGATAAACTAACAACATGTTTATAAGAAAGAAATATGTTCGTAAACATATCTCTCTGTTTCTTAATTTTATTCTGCTTTTGAACTAAGGGAAAGAACTATTCTGTTGATGTTTTCTCAATGTAAAATCTACCTGTCTTCGTTTGATTGACGTCAGCTTCTTTTTCTTGCAGAAAAAAGTATCGAGTTGATCTACGTGAAGTTGTATCAATTTCAACAGTAACGACTTTTATGAGAAATAATTGAATTTTCTGCATTATCAAAAATCTTCCAAAGAGAAAAAATTGAAAACTATGTATCTGGGTAAATAATCATTATAAAACGCTAACGCCAACTGTGGAGTTGAACGGATAAAAGAAGACAAACAGGTTTATATATAATAAGCACACTTTGGTACACATAGCAAAACTGTCGAGCAAAAAAACGGTGTTTAAAAAATCATTCCGTCTGTCGCTTGACGACGTTGTATACGACGAGGAGGTAGTGGCTTTGTAGTGACGTGCTGACGATTTCGATTTTTTTGACCTGTAGGTGATGTTTGTTAAGGAGAGATTTGTGGTGGAAGAAGGCTAATCGCAGCAGGTAGATATGTCTGAAAAGGAAAAAAAGATGATTAAAGGAAATAAAAAGGCTTGCAAAATAGCCATGAAGTTAATGCCAAAGACATATTTTAAGTTCAAAAAGAGGAGTGTTACCACTGGCGGTGGTGGAATAATTGGCAATAATAGAGCAGGTGTTGACGAAGCTGAATAAAAGCCGCCTGTAATAAGAGATAGACTAACGGTCATAAAAAAAATCGTTTTTCAGAATAGTTAAGCGAATTCACAAAGATACTTTGTTGAAGTTATCAGTTAGAAAAAATAACATACCGGAAAAGATGGTTGAACAATAGGTGGTAGTTGACAAAAAGGCGTCAATGAGAAAAATCAAATTTAGGCAAAAACCACGTAGATTATGTCGACGCCAGAAAAGAAGTCAAAGTAGAATTAAAAGAAACCCGCTGTCGGATTCACCGAAAAGTGTTGCGCCTAGCGCCCCATTTTTATCTAATTTGGTGTAGCGCGGGAAAAGTACCTAATTTTCTAATGACGCAAAAATCCATGAAACTTTCGAAGAAAAAAAATTTTTTCATATGCATTGTTTTTCTGCAATTTGAAAACTATTTTTTTCTGATTCTCCATCGAAAACTGAGTTTCAAGTCAAGGAATTCAACGCTAAATTTCTAAATTTTAAAGTTGAAATTGATCGCCAAATTCATGGATCAGGAGCAGAATCGTAGGTACCCTACTGTCAAATTTGCAATCCTATCTGTTTTCCGTCGAAAGACTAAGCATGAATGGTTATTTCTTTCTAATCATTATACTTTTTTTGTAAATCAGACGAAAAAAATCCGAATTCTGCCCGTAATTCACAATTTTCTCGGTCAAAACTCAACTTTCGATCGATAAAAATAGCATATTTGGAATCAGGATCAAAAACTGAGCCGATATGTATTTCGAAATTTTTAGTTGATTTTCAGTTTTGGGTAAAAGTGTCGAGAGTATTTCAACGTGAAAATTCGAAAAAAATAAAGTAGTCAGATGAGACAGAAATACTGTAAACATTGAAGGAATTATGAAACAAGATCATTAGAAACTTAAATATAAACTTCGTGCCGGTTCAAACTTGATGAAACTAAGGTGGTATACGTAGAATTTCAAGGCGAATCCAACAGCGGATTTCTTTTAATTTCATTCTGAGTTTCTTATAGGGCTTCTACAATTTCTGCAATTTTGCATACCAAATTTTCGATATTCTTTGCGTTCTGCCGTCTGTTTTCTTTTCGTCTTTCCTCACGCACAATCTTCCATCTATATAGGCAACATAAACTAGATAATAGAGCCTTAGCATATAGTGTATCTTCTTTATCTCATATACGACAAGATGCGCACATATTCGGTCTAAGAAAAGAGAAAAAATTTCATCAAACGAACGGAAAGAGCAGCAAAAAGAATTGCTTGCCCTCGTTCGTTTCTGAATGTGTCCTTAATTCCACATACAGATTTCTGTATGCGACATTAAAATAAGACATGCGACATGCTAAGATAAAGCACTAGAGGATATCGAACTATAAACGCGAATGGGAACGACGCGTCGTCTATTCACGACCCGAATTATAAAATTCATAACTCTATCAAGCAAAGCAGTTAAGAGGCGATTTGCCAGCCCATCAAGAAATCAAGTCACCAGTGAAAAATTGACATATACTTTTTATTTCATATTCGGATTCTACTATCAAAACTGGGTTTATGAAAAATATGAACAAACTTTCTGACTTATTCTGGCTGAGTTATAGAATTTACAAAATAAGCATCATCGTCGATTTGCGAAAAGTAGCTATCTCTGATATTTTGACAATAACTCCGCCATTTTTTGTCCGATTTGTTCGAGCAGCATCGCATTCGAAAGCCTGGTAAAAGTGAACAAAATCACATAGTTCCTAATTTTTCTGAAGTAGGAAGTGACTGTTTAAAACCCACATCAATTGAAGACACTTACCATGACTAGTTAATCTTTGAGTAATCTCATTTATATAGTATAATCCAATAATTCAAAATTTTAATCCTTCAAAATCCCAATTCTCCAATTGATATGGGTTTTAAATAGTCACTTCCTACTTCAGAAAAATTAGGAACTGTGTGATTTTGTTCACTTTATCAGGCTTTCTAATGCGATGCTGCTCGAACAAATCGGACAAAAAATGGCGGAGTTATTGTCAAAATATCAGAGATAGCTACTTTTCGCAAATCGACGATGATGCTTATTTTGTAAATTCTATAACTCAGCCAGAATAAGTCAGAAAGTTTGTTCATATTTTCCATAAACCCAGTTTTGATAGTAGAATCCGAATATGAAATAAAAAGTATATGTCAATTTTTCACTCGTGATCGGCAAGATACTCGATCCACTGGCAAAGTCTCTCTTAAGAGCTCAAATTTCTTTCTATGGCTGTTCTATGTCTGGTATATTCATAAAAAGTTTCAGCTTTACAACATGTTCCATCCTCGAGTTATTGAATTTTAAGTTTTGAACTGAACTGAACTCAACTTTATTTCACCCGCAGAAAATAATCTTTCAGAAAATCCTATACATATAAGTAAGTACAAAAGGTCAGAGGCTTATACAAAAAGTACCATCTGTACGAAAACGAAGAAAACATCTGTTTGAAGAGGAGTAAAAGATATACAAAAAGCACAATCAAAAGAGAAAGACAGATACAGAGAAGAATAATCACGATAATGATGCAGCAAAGATTACTCAAATGTGCAGATGGATTCACAATGCTCTTTTCAAAGAACTGACTCTTTTTGTGGTCACTACTTGTTCTCGCAGAAAGTTCTAGTCGACTGTTGCTCTCTGCAAATAATCATTCTAGGAAACTCTAGTTAACCAACTGACAATTCAATTTCAACGAATGAATCACGAAGAACGAATTCCTTTGGGTAACTCGAGTTACTCAAGGAAATGCACACTTGTAATGCTATGGTTCAATATTTCTGGTTGAAATCTGCTTTTAACTATTTTTTTCTTTTTGATAATGATTATAACATCGTAACCTTTGTAATGCTGGGAACTAGTTAGCAAATGCATTTTTAAAAGATAATTTGGCATTACTGATCAATACACATTTCTTTTCAATTAATACATTGTTTGTAAATAATTTTGTTAACTGTAAATGTGATTCTTCTTACTTATTGTCGTGTAACAGAATACAAAGAGGTATTGTTGGTCGGTCTTGAAATAGAATATTTGGGTACACCACAACCTAAAGCAGAAGAAGCAATTGAATTATCGATCACAAGT